CCATGGTCTGAAAACCCTTGTTTTATATATTTGATCTGGTTTTCTCATTGTTTTTAGCAGGAAGATAAATCCAGTCCTTGTTAACTCCATTATGGGCTGAAGCAAATGTCTCTAATTTACTCGTTTATTTTATGTACTTTTTGAAAATCTTACCTACACTAAAATGTAAACTTAATAAGGGCACAGATATCTTTGACAGATTTATTTGGTTAGGTTCCCCAAACACCTAGAACAGTTTCTGGTACATAGTAAATGTTAAAAGTAGTTGTTACATGAATAAGCAAATGAATAAATGAGTATCATTTGATAGTATGTATTCTCATTCTTTATATTCTATTCATTTTTCAGAGAAAACGCTGATCCAAATGAAAGTTTTTATCTACTTGACTCATTTCTGTATGGCCCATATTTTGCCACTGTTTAAGAAAATTATGCAAATTAATGCTTGGAAAGTTCTAAAAATTATTTAACCTTGATAATAATATTTATGATGATAAAGAAGGATAATGAAGAACCATTTTCTCTCTACCATGCTTACACCTGATACTTCCAGAATACTTTCTTTCTGACACCAGATGTGTGTGATTTTTTTCCCACAGCAAGCAATTCTGCAGTTCTCTGGGGACACAAGCTGGATGTCCTCTAATTCAATTCAATTCCAACACTATCTACCTGGAGTTAGTGCCGATCTCACAGGTTAAGGACTTCACAATACTGACCTCTACCCCTACCTCAGTTGTGTCGTAAATCCAGGTTACCACCTGTGTTTCTGACTAACCACGTATAAATCAGAGGTTTACACCCTCCTCGGTATCAGTCATTTGTTAGAATGGCTCACAGAACTCAGAGTTACAGTTTACTTACTAGATTCCTAGATAATTACAAAGGATACAACTCAGCAATTGTCATATAGAAGAGATACATAGGGCAAAGTATGGAGAAGGGTACAGAGATTCCATGCCCTCCCCAGACAGGCCAACCTCCCAGTAATATGTATTTGCCAAGCTGGATGCTATCTGAAATCCATATTTTGTGTTTTCCCAGAGGTCTTCTAATGAGGCTTCACTTCTAGGTATGATTAAATGTCATTAGTCACTGGTGACCAACTCAACCTTCAGGTCCTCTCAGTCCCAGAAGGTCAATAGTAGAGCAAGAGCTGTAATCCTCTAATCACCTGATTCATTCCCGGGCAGCCAGCCCCCATTCTGAGGTTCTTCAGGAGCTCCCAGCCACCAGTCATCTCAATAGCATACAAAAAGACTCAACACTGGAGATTCCAAATATTTTAGAAGTAGTGTGCCAGGAATCATAATAAAGATATGTATTCTTTCTTATATAACAGTATCTCAAGAGGAAAAGGTAATAGAGCATTCCAAAGCTTCAAGGGTTTCATAAAGTTCTGCAATGAGGTAACAGAACATTTAAGGTCAGTTTTCTGGTAGGAAGTGATAGAACTGAATATTTATGCTTAGATAATGCAGAAATCTCTCCTCCCTTTATTTCTCACTCTTCCACCCACTTACAGCAGGCATTCTGCAGTCTGGAATCTCTATTAATATGAAAACTCAGCTGGAGAAAACTTAATCAAACAGTCAGTCAATTTTTAAATTAAAAAAATAATAAAACACCTCTAGCCTTAAAAATTACTGTCATTAATCAGTACCAGAAACAGCAGCAAATAATAAATGAATCTAGAACACCGAGGGCAAAGAAAAAAGTTTATGACCCTGTTCAGAAAGACTTGTCCTGGAAAGGCCTCAACTAACAGGGGGAAAAAAAAAGTGCTGTTTGCCTCAAGACTTGAAAAGGATTTTTTAAAGTAGCAACAGAGACCATTGGAGAGAAAAATTATCATCTTAAATACATTCCTACACATGTCAGAAATGAACTGACTTTTGAAAGTTATTACCTATTAATTGGAAAATTACAGAGCAGATGGAACCAATTAATCTACAATTACAGAATTACCACAATCCAAACAAAAATAATTAACTCATTTACAAGATATGAGTTTTTAGGAAACTCTTCCTAACATCTCTAAAATTGGGAAACAAGCGTGACATTTCATAGGCATAGGAGAGTGTAAGCTATCTTTGGAGGCTAAATTTCCCTTCGGGATAAAAAGGGAGTTGAAGTGTGCATGGTTACTCCTAAAGAAAAAATCCAGAGGGAAGGTATGTTTAGACCATTTATTTGAGAAGGTTTGCTTCATATTGACCATACATGAGAAACCGTGTTAGGTGCTCATTATTCAGTAGTGAAGCAACAACAACAAATAGGAATCCTGCTATCATGAAGCCTACAGTCCCGTGAGAGGCAAATAGCAAATCACCACCAATAACGTCAAATTGCAATTGACACTGAGAAGAACGAGGTAGTATCGTATGAAACAAGAATGAAGATTTGTACAAGTTAGGGGGGCTGATGACAGCTTTCCCAAAGATACCTTTTGAGGTTATATACTTGGAATTATCAAGAAGAAAGCAGAACTAGGACAGGAAAGACATTCTGACATATGGAACAGCCTATGCAAAGGCTTTACCGTAAAAATAAACATATTGCTAAATGGGGGCTTTTAAAAGCCAGTGTGACTGAAATGCAGAAAGCAAAAGGAAGTTTGCTTATAACTATAGGGTTAAAGCTTTCTAAGACTAGTTTTAAAAGTTTAATCTTGTTTTTCTGTAAGCATTAGAAAATTATTGAAGGATTTCAGGGGCCATGGAATGCCGAGATTGAAGTCGTTGGATTTATGCCTTACAAAGAGCTCTAGCTGGAATCAGGAAAATGGATTAAAGGGAATTCAGTAGTTGCGAATCATCTGTTTTCCAAGTCAGGATTTTCCACTTGACCATACTCCATTTTGAATTATGCCTTAACCTGTGTTCATAAGTCTTGCCTGCTCAAATATATTTTCATCTATCTCAGGGCAGGTCATTTAAATTTTATTTCTTTCTTCTCCATATAGCTACCCATGAAGCTTTCAAGAAGCTGAGATTCAATCTTAGCATACTCCATGCTTAAAATAAAGTTCACAACATTTAGAATGATGCCCAAGGCTTTTTGTGATGCAGCCAGATGTTATCTTTCTAGCTTTATCTTTACCTCTCTCACTGTATACGTTGTCTTTCAAGCTCATTAAACTACTTATTATCCCTGAGGTACATCATGCTTTGTAAAATGTATTGTCTCATCTCTCCTTCCAGACTATCCTTGCTTTCTTCCCCATAACATTTTGCTTGTTATCTTATTTTTCTGTGTGAACACATCTTTGGTACTTCTCCATTCCAGCCCATAATAATTCATTTGTCTTATATTTTTGCGTAGTGCATTGTGTATACCACTCTATGCATTTCCAATCCCATCATTTGAGGTGAGTACCCTGAATCCTGAGACTGGGTGCTGTTTGTTTTTGTTATCTGAGAGTTCACTATTTTGCCTAGCACATAGTAGTGTTTCAACAATTATTGTTTGTCTTATTCTCAGTTTGTTTCCTTGCCAAGTTCAATACTGGGAAGAGCGTTTAATGATGTCAACAAGCAGAAGGTTAGGGACCATAAAGGAATAAGGAAAACTTTTGAAAGTCTCTAAAAAGTCATGACAAGTCCAGGTAATAACAAAGGCTCACAGAATGAAAAGTACCACATTTTCTAAATGACTGGCAAAACAGATAAAATACTGTAGCAGATGCTGCAAGAGTTACAAACTTGCTACTCTAGGACAAAACACTCAAAAAGATATTCAGGGAAATAAATATTTGTTAGACTCATAAAGAGTCTAACAAACTCATCTATAGAGAAAAATAATAAGAGGGAGTCTCAATATTAGCATTCAGATACATCCCCGATCCAGAAATCTTTCAGTTCCCCTGGAGCCCTTCTTAGGCTGTGTCTCTGATATAACTGCAACCTGAACAATGTTGATTTCACTCTCTCTGGGGAGCTGACTATATTTGTTTCAATAACTATGTTTTTGTAGGTATTTACTACTTTATACTATGTGGAAAATCTGCCAGCTAGTACCCAGAGGCATCATTTCCTTCTTTATTTCTTGGCTGTTAAAAAGAAAGACAGACAATTTGTCAAACATTTAAATAAAATTATGGATAAAAGGTTAATAGAAAAATGTATCCTTTGGGTGTTTCCATCAGATTAAGTATTAATGAATATTAGATGCATAAACAATATATTCTCAGATATGATATTTTTATAGTATGATTAAGAGAGAGAGCATCAACGATCCATTGCCCAAACAGACCATATGTGTTTACTAAATGAAAGGTATTGGGACAAATGGAGATAAATATTTCCAGGTATAATGGCATGAGATCTAAGTGTCCCATTTTTGTATTTTTAAGAAACAGTGACCCCCAAATACAGAATCTCAAAAAAATAAGTTTCAAAGTTGAATCATATATATACTATATGTCTTTGATAGATGTCATAAAAATGGTACTTCAGATCTGTGGATTTCCTCCCCAAAACATATAACCTTAGTGGAATCATCATAAAAGCATCAGACAAATGCCAGTTAAGAGACAATATACAAAATATCTGACCAGTACTTCTTAAAACTCTGAAGGTAACCTAAAACCAGGAAAGTATGAAAAACTGTCGTGAGGCAGGGAATTAAAGAAAGAAAGAAAATTTAAAATCAAAAAGAGAAAAAAAACAAGTTCTCTGTATTAACCTGAAGGCAGTTAACAGGCAAAACCCAGGCCCAGGAGAAAAACCTTGATGACATCTTAGAAGTCAGAGCTCAGAGGAATGCGCTCTGGAGACTTTTCCAGGACTCCCTCAACATAAGGAGGGAAACATAAATTTTCCTTATACCCTTACCCCTATAATATGAGTAAGCTTAGAAATTTATATGTCTCTCTCCTGTATAACTTCATGTAGTCTGTTTTGTATCTAAACAACATGTTGAAGGCTAAGAGAAATGCCTAAGCAGGCCAGAACTGCCAACACCAAGGGCCCAGGACAAAGGCTAAAAGATAAACTCACCTGAGATTCTGTCCTAATCAGCCCAAGTCCAAGATGAGCATCAGGCCCGCATACCAAGAGTCATAAGTAAGCCGGTCACAGTTTTGATTAACTGCTTGTGTTCTTGCTTCAGTAAAACCTGCTTCCTGCTTCATGATTTCACGCCTCTGGATGCATAAAAGACACTTGCTCTCTTTGTCCATTGCTCAGACATTCTGGATGTGAATCCACTGAGCAGGTGTACACCTTAAATAAATCTTCCTGTAACCTCATCATTCTCTCTGGTTCCCTGATTTCCCACAACAGTCCCAGCCAAGATGGGAATAAGGAGACTTGAGAAGCAAAGGTCATGTCGTATCCTAGATAGTAGGCTGGAAGAGAAAGAAGGTATTAGTCAAAAACTGAATGAGTGAATGAAATCTGAATGAAGTATGGACTTCAGTTAACAATGACTCAATACTGGTTTATTAATTATAACCAATGTATTGTACTAATACTTGATGATGATAATGAGGGAAACTGTGCAGAGAGTATATTCACAATCTCCATACTATCTTTGCAATTTTTCTGTAAATATGAAACTGTTCTAAAATTAAAAGGTTATTGCATTTTTTTTAAAAAGTTCAGATAAATCAAAAATCAGACAATAAAGATATACTTTATATGAGTATCCCCCATGCATTAGGGGCATACTTGTAGTAAAAGTAAAAATGGGGGGGGGTATCTAAATTTCAAGTTTAACTGGGTAAACATATTTTATTTGGCAATTCTACATCTGGAGTTAATGTCTCCCAATGTAATGATTTCCCACAAGTTTCATTCCAATATTATTGTCTCCAGAAAAAACAAAACAAAACAAAAAAAGAGAATTTGTTTCAATGTAACCTAAACAGAGAAATGTGAACTTTGCTCTAGGAAGTAATATCCTACCACTGAAGGAGTGAGGGGGCTGATCACCACTGTAAACCAAGGTGAGGTGTTGAGGATGTTACACTGTTGAGACTGAGGCATGAATACAAGAGTGCTTTTTGATATGAGGGCACTCAGTTATGATTCAGGATTCAGTGTTGCATTGAGAACAGGTGGAGACAATTCTAATGTTTGTCGGTGTAAACAAAAAAGTATCTGAGACAGATCTCGATACATTTAGAAGTTTATTTTGCCAAGGTTAAGGACATGCCCAGGAGAAAAGAAAACAGATTCACAGAAACAGTCTACAGCATGTGGCTTTTCTCCAAAAATAATTTTGAGAACTTCAATATTTAAAGGAAAAAAGTGGGCTGAAGGGAAGAGAGAGAGCATGGTAATCCATATGTTATAAGAGAAAAGGAGCGGAGGAAATGCCAGTTATGATCAGTAAATCAGCATTTTACACAAGATAAAGTGAACTTAAAGTAGCTATCTGTGGAGATATTTAATCTGTGGAGAGATTAAACAAAAAAAAGGCAATTTTTTGCATGACAGCTTTCAGCTCTTTTTTTTTCCTTTTGGCATAGTGAATTGGAGTCCTGAGTTTTTATTTTCCTTTAACATTGAAATCGCCTTTTAAAACTGGAATAAGAAAAATGGTTTTCAGTCAAAGAAGTGGAGGCACCAAACTGCTTTTGAAGAGGAGGGATGGAGAGACCAGAAGTTCAAGGAGGTGGGCTGCCAGAAATGAGTTATTATATAAGACTTAAGAATCTGCCACTTGAACATGTTTCTCAAGGAATGCTTAGAATAGTTGCTCTACAACTTTAGTGTTGTCAATGAAAAGAGTTAAACTCTGTAAAATATTTGAAGAGATTTATTCTGAGTCAAATATGAGTGACCGTGGCCTATGACACAGCCCTCAGGAGGATCTGAGAACACACGCCCAAGGTGGTCGGAGTGCAGCATGAGACATCAATCAAATATATTTAAGCAATACATTCCTTTGGTCCAGAAAGGTAGGACAACTTTAAGGTTGGGTGGTGGGGAAGTGGGGTTTCTAGACTTTAGGTAAATTTAAATAATTTCTGGTTGAGAATTGTTTGAGTTTGTCTAAAGATCTGGGAACAACAGAAAGAAGAGTCCAGTTAAGACAAAAGATTGTGGAGACCAAGGTTCTTTTGAAGTCTTATAGTGGCTTCCCTTAGAGATTATAGATGATAAACATTTCCTATTCAGATCTTTAAAAGGTGCTAGACTCCTAATATCTTCAGGATTGGGAGGGCCTGTAAGAAAAAGATCTAGCTAGCTTAATAAAGATTCTCTACAGATGCAACTTTACCTCCACAAAAGATGACTTTGCAGGGTCATTTCAAAATAAGGGAAAAAAACATGTTTTGGGTTAAAATATTTTTACTTTCTTGTCACATAATGTTATGCCAGAGTCAGATTGGAGGGTAAGTCATGATATACAGGCTTAAATAAAACCCATCTGATGAGAATTTATGGTTTGTAGACCCCAGACCACCTAGATAGGAATTTGGGTAAGATAAGAAAAAAAAAAAAAAAAGAACCTTAGAGCTTAGTCCTCAGTGTGTATCCAAAGTACCCAGAGATTTTTTTAAATTACAAATTCTTATTCAATATATCTGGAGTAGCACTTGAGATTGTACTGCTGATATGGGAACCATACTTTTAGTTAAGACCTAACAGTGTCTTTATTAAGATTTTAAGAAATACAGTTATGTAGGGGGCACCAGGATGTTGGAAAAGCTTGGAGTTGCCTATTTTCTAAAGGCTGGGGTTCACAGTGAGAGATGGTACAATAAAATTGGTATTTCTAATATTATAGGGATAAAAAAAATCTCAAAATGACAAACTAGAATTGACAACACTGAATTGACCTGGAGGCTAGAGTGAAAATAGGATTGCCTTTACCTGCAGGAATCTAGAATGATAGCTAATAATGTTCCTATGAACAAAATGTATTGTTACCCAGTGATGGTGTTGCTTGGTTTGTATAAGAAAAAGGAAAAGAGAGAGGGAGAGAGAGGGAGGGAGGGAGGGAGGGAGGGAGGGAGGGAGGGAGGGAGGAAGGAAGGAAGGAAGGAAGGAAGGAAGGAAGGAAGGAAGGAAGGAAGGATTCTGAAGGAAGGAAGGAAGGAAGGAAAAGAAAGAAAAAATTGAGAACTCTTGTTAGCCACTGAATGGAAAATAACTTGCTCAGTTTCTAAATCTAAATCAGTTGAGCTCTAGAGCCTATTGATTCAAAGAAAGCCTGAGTCTAATTATCAAAAAGGATCCTGAAAAGCTACTCCAAATGTATAAAAAATAGTTATCTAATTCTTCTCTGAAGGGATCTAGGTCATTAGTCAGGACTGGTGTACGTCCTAGTGAATGTAAGCTCCTATAAGATATAGTTAGGTACCACTTCAAACAGCGTGGCCAGTTCCTCTATTCTTTATTCTTCAATTTCAAGTACCCCTCCCCCACCTTTACTACACCCTAACCTGTCTAAACATGCGTAGGCATGCTACAGCTCAGTCCACATTGCTTTCCTTATGTGGAAACAGATTAGCTTTCTAGTCTCCCATAGGTGACACCTTTCTTTCCTCACTTTCTCCCCCATTCCATGTCTACCTTATCTAAGAAAGTTTAAATGTTTAGCCAATTGGGACTAGTTTAGATTGTGCAATCCAACCCCAGCCAATGGGGGAAAGACGCAGAGGCAGAAGCTGCACTAGGTATAAAAAGCCCTCCTATCCTTTGTTCTGTGTGCTCTCATGGTGACCAGACTTGAAAGCAGCACTGTTATGCAGAAGTAAATCTGCCTTGCTGAGAAATCCTTTGCTTGAGTGCTCATTTGCTTTGCAACTCCATGCTTTTATCTCCACACACCTTAACAATTATTGGGATTTTTCTTTCTTTGAATTTGCAGGTCAATAATATCAGCCATTACTTTCAGACAGGGCTTGCTTCCAAAGAGCCTTAAAAATGTTGAAATTACTAATGAGGGCATTAAATTTGGAGTTGAATTATGTTGTTTAGAAAATTTTAACGACTTCAGAAATGACTCAATACTCACACACCCATATTTCAGGACTTTATGTTCCTTTTAGGGAGGAGGAGGGGCATAAGTGTGTGAGTGGGGCATCTTTAACGTCACACATGTATATATATTCATGAACACAAAAATAAAAATTGACACTTATTTGTTAATCCTATTTTTTCCAATAGAAAGTTATGTTATCATTCTCTGTTGTGATAATAATTTATTTATAAACAATTTTTGAAGATCTTGGTGGCTGAAATGTTTCCTCATTATATGTAGATATCTATTTCTATTCATTCTTCCTTTGATTTTCTTCATTTTTACCAGTGTCTAAACTTGCTTATGCTAAATATTTAAATATAAAATTGTTTGAGGTATTTTTCCTCTGAGTTCTCCTAAATTACACAGATAATTTCTAGCAATGAATAAATTTCTAGCAATGAATAAAACATTTGTGAAACTGAATGTAATTTTTTAAATAAATGGGATTCTTTGGTGGTTATGTGTATTATTTTTATCTTTTTTTTCCTTTTTCTTGATGTAGAGCATGCATAAATAAAAGGGTACATATCTTGGGTATACACTACAATGAATTTCCAAAAAGTGATCACACTCATGTAACAAGAAATATTAATATTGCCCAAATTAAGCAATATTAATATTTTGATGCTATTGTATTATCTTTAAAATTTATTTTTAGATGCTTATTAGCATATAAATATACAATTATTAATTTTGAAAAAAAAATAGAGCAGCACCTCCATCTCAGAAGTCATCCTCATTTCCCATCCCTGTCACCAGACATACAAGGGCAACTATTACTCTCACTTCAGCACACTTAAATAATGGTTTCTGGTTTTTAATTTTATGTGAATGAAATTATATACTATGCACTATGTTTGTATCTTCGTTTCTTTTGCTCAACATATTGTTTTTGAAATCCACCCATGTTGCTGCATGTAATTGCAGTTTATTTAATTTCATTACTGTATTCCATTTCATTATCATCCTTTCCATTATTTATGGTTGCTTCCATTTTCAGTCTATTACAAATAATGCTCCTATGAACATACTTGTATAATATTTTGGTGAATGTAAGTATGGAGTTCTTTTGGATATACACCAGGGAATGGAATTACTGTGTCCTAAATTATGAGCTAATTCAGTTTTAGTATATACTGCCAAAGAGTTTTCTAAAGTGGCTGTCTCAATTTATTCTCTCACCAGAAAAGTATGAAGATGCTTACTAACATTTGGAATTGTCAAACGCATTTATTCATTTTAGCCTTTCTGGGAGTTTTAATTTGCATTTCCATGACAGCATATAATGTTAAGCATATTTTACATACTTTAGTGGACATTTGGATATTTAAAAAAATTAAATATCTGTGCAAGTGTGTTGTCCATTTT